ACACACACACACACACACACACACACACACACACACACACACACACACACACAAAATGTATGTAGGTGGCTTCTTCAATTTCATTGTAATACAGACTGCTACAGAAGATCTTTTCTGTCCACAGCCATCCCATCCACAAGAGCTCTTTAGTTAACATGAGTTACTACGACATCTAATTTCCCTCTGGGATCAATAAAGTATTTTTAAATTTGAAATCCTTTACAAGGGCATCTTTCATGTTGGATCCCACCATAGAGCCCTCCCCACCCCACCCCACCCCATCAAACATCTTTTGGAGAAAAAGGGGAAAAAAGCTTTTAAAGCACTTTATTTTGTTTGATTTTGTCTTTGACAAACTTGAGTCTGTCTYCATGTCCTTCTCAGGTCAGTTGTGGTTTCTCTGCGCCTTCTACCAAAACTTTTTGGCACTTTTCAGCAGTTTGGCTCCAGCTATGACACTCACTGGATCACCATGTAAGTAACACAACCTTTYCTCAGGTATCTGAGTGACATAAAGTCAACCTCAAGCCTTTGAAAAGCAAACAGACAAAATGTTTTTGTGCAAAATTGATTTTAGCAGATCATTTCTGAACCTCACATACATCATTTTAATTACTACACAGGCTTTAGAAATATTTTATTTCACCAAAGTCACCTGTCTAAGAATTGGTAAAAGATTAATAGAATTTCCTTAGGTTTTCACCATTTTATCAAATTTGACATTTTAGACTTTAAAGAGAACCACCTCCATCCGATTTTTGTATTCATGTGATTTTTCTTAGGTGGGCTGAGAAGGAGTTGCACATGATGAAACTGTTCTTCGACAATCTGCAACACTACATCCATGAAGTCAGAGAACACCTGCACAAGTTTGCACTGTGAGTCTATAGGCGTGTAAGAAAGTATTGAAAGAAAATATTTTCTTTTCTGATATTGTATAGATTCTCATAATGTTTTGGTTTTAATTTAGGGTTTAAATGTAAACTTTCATGCCAAAACTCCCAGCAGGGTAATTCCAGAAGCTCAAGCTCAGGGCAACTCGACAGTTCGGAGCGGCCCAAAATCGAAGTAATAACTCCAATTAGAAGAAATGTTTCCTTGTAAGTTCCGAAAAGGAAAACAAAAAGAAAGAAGCTGGAAACTGGCTGTTTTTCCAGCACAGAAAAGCAAGAAGCTGGAGAGACCCTCACGGTGTCTCTTGATCCCAGCAAAGCAAAACATCAGACTGAACAAACTGAGCAGAGAACACGCAACGCACTTAATGCTACTTAGACAGAGACACAGCRAGCGCTGTTTTCTCAGGACAGGAAAGAAAAGAACATAAGAATGAGTTGTGTTTATTTCTGCAGGTGCTGTATTTCTCGTGAGAACACGTGTGTGTGTTATTTGAATGAAAGACCTAAAAATCAAAACATAGCCATCGTGTGTTACTTTGGCTATGTTTTGATTTTTGGGCCATTCAGTCACTGATATTATCAATGGAACTAGGTGAAGTTGACCTGTAAACCTTATAAACTAAAGGCCCTGTCACACTATGACGTTTTGGACAACTTATGCATCTTTTTCCAACACGCTGGCACACGCTGAGGAAGAGGGAAAAGAAAGCATCAATTAGCACCTTCATTTGGACGTGATCATTTCGTGTTCCTAACGACTTGAACAGATATAAAACCTATGAGTAAATTATCCCTACCTTGAACATAACGTGTACAAGCTTATTAGAACGTGTTTGGTTTTCTGCAGCATGCATGTGCAACATTAGTGGAACTTCTGCAGAACTTCTGTGCAGCGTGATGGAGGAAAATGTAACATCGGCAGCAGTCACACAGACGCACAGCATCAACTTATGAAAATATCTACAACAYGTTGATGCAAGTTAGGCATAATTTTAGGATAACTTACCAACATGTTAATATAAGAGGGCATATGTTGTCCTACAGAGATCCCAGCGTGTAATTTTGAACATTTCAAAATTTCCACCGTATGTGGAATGGTTGGTGATCAGTTTTACACAGTTTCAGGTCTGTTCAGATCTGTTATATATGTTATATATGTTGTATATGTTCACACATGTTACAGTGGTTTGCAAAAGTATTCATACCCCTTGAACTTTTCCATATTTTGTCACATTACAACCACAAACATAAATATATTTCA